TTTCTTGGAATTCTGACTTTAATCTCAAAATTATGTATTTATTTTCTCAGAATTCTGACTTTAATCTCAGAATTATGATTTTTTTTTTTCTCAGAATTCTGATTTTAATCTCAGAATTATGACTTTTTCTCAGAATTCTGACTTTAATATCAGAATTATAACTTTTTTCTTGGAATTCTGACTTTGATCTCAGAGCTCTGACTTTTGTTCTCAGAATTCTGACTCTCCTCTCAGAATTCTGACTGTTTTCTGACAGCTAACAAACATGTAAGCATCAATCTGTAGCCATGTCCGTTTTAAAGATTAGCTCCCTTGTTTTAATCACCTTCTGCCTTTCCATCAATGAAATAACATCACCGGGGACCCCCCTGGCACGTAAAAAGTTGCCTAATTGCATAATTTCCCACCATTGTGTTACTGGCCCTCTCAAACAACTAAAATCTTTGTCAGTGAAGCTGAGTGCTCCCACATCTCTTCCTTCATAGTGCCCATCTACATTAAAATCCCCCCCAAAAAAAGATTAAAGTCAGAATTCTGACTTTTTTCCCATATTAAAGTGAAATAAAATTTAAAAATCAGTCAACTTTTTTTATTTTTTCAGTGTCCCTGTACTCTTTGGTAAAATACATTTCGGTTTTAGTGATTTTTTTGTTTTGTTTTAGGTTGTGACCTACAGATTGGAGGACAGGGCATTTTCGTCCTGCAGAGGCTGAGGTTCCTGAGCAAGAACCCAAAAATGCAATGATCTCGCAATGGAGAAATTGATCTCTTTGCATTTCATCTGCACAGGACATGTCATATCAACACCCCACCTTCAAACAGTTTTCCACTGAAGGCCAGATGAGGTTTATTTATAGTCTTAAAAACAAAACAAAATATCAGTACAATGGTGAAACTTAGACTTTTTTTATTGCTATCATAATGTAATAATGTGTAAATATTCCCTTTTTAAAGAAACAATAATATTTATTAATTCAATCACTTTTTTTAGTTAAATACATATTACAATCCAAGCTTGTACTTGAATACCAAATGTATGAATATTCATGGAGACAAATAAAATATGCCAGTGTTTGCTTGGATAATTTTAAGAGTTGCAGAAAAAAACTCATTAGAAATAAATGAAATAATCATTTTCTTTTAAAAACACCAACGTTTTTTTGTACCAAAAAAAAAAAACAACATAGAAAATTTAATCCTTTTCCAACTGATCTGATACTAAATATATACATTTTAAAGTATGCTGATTCTTACAGTGATAAATTAACCTTTATTTTAAACTCACAGTACTAAGAAAATCTGAACAAAACACAAAATTACTGAAGATATTGTCTTATTTTACCCCATTTAGAATAATAGATCTGATAATCCTACTGATTGGCAACATGGCGATATAATGGCATAATATACATTATAATATACATTGTATACAACCTCTTGTGATATAACGAGCATAGCCACTGCTGTTTTTCTTCCATGGCTCTTTTCACGCAACACATTTTCTATATCATTGTAAACAAAAATGGTATAATATGTAATTATTTAAATAAGTTATTTTAATTTATACAATAAATAGCTTGACCTGAAAAGGTAACTAAAACGTTCTGTATATCCTAATTTCAGTTTTACACTTTAACTGACCTCTTTTTTGTAGGCCTGATCTAAATCTTTCTTGGATCAACAGAAAATATGCATTTGACTTTTAAATACATATAAAATACAAATACTCCCTCTCTTGAGCAACAGGTTTTGTCATATAATACATTAATCAAGAGATTGATCTGGTTCAGAAGCCACACAAATGGCCTGACTAAGTCTTGTAAAAACGTGTTTAAATTATTTCTAATAAACGATTAGCTAAAGCCTCTTCCAATTAGGTCATTTTGAGCCTAAGATAGATGTTAAAGCACATTTGATTTTTAATCCATCATCCTTAGATGGACAGAAAACTTCCAACTTAGCAAGACATCATCCACTATCTAAACTTAAACTCATCCTTTTTGTTCCAAATGAGACATTTTATGTTTGTCTTGTATAAATTGCTAGTAAAACAGATGGTTTGTGGTTTGGACCTGACAAAATCAAAAATCTTCATTTTGGTTTGCAGAATGACACATAAATATCCCAGTGTTGGTTATGGCTTATCAGACTGATGAAAGACTGGAAGTTTTTTCCAAATCCAGCTGACTTCCATTGGGGGAATCCTTGAACTCTTCCTGGATGATGAGATGGAGCCCGCTCTCCTCCTTTGAGAGGTTGAGGTCACCAGTTTTAGGGAAAACTGCCTGGATGGAAATCTTATCTAAAGCAAAGACAACATTTTTGTCAGAGAAAAGCAAAAGCTTTTTATTAAATTAGCAGACATTAATATAAACACAAAGCCATCTCTAGCATAAGTTGGTGCACTTATCCTGCTACCTCCTCTGCCAACCCTAAACCAATGACAATGCAGGAGCCCAACAGCATTCTTGGGCAGAAGAAAATGCAGGGCTGTGACCAGCAAAGCATGATAAATTGTCTCCCAATTCTTAGTAGCAAGACAGGGGCACCAACTCTCAATTAACAGCACATCTATAAAATATATTAGTGTGACTGACATATGATACTTTTAAACTCCCTTGCTGCAAATTGGAACTATCTGTTTGGTTGTATCCATCAGCCTATGATGGATACACCCCTCTGGGTTTCTCTGCCAGGCAGGAACCTCTAAAGCAGGGGTGTCAAACCGTTCGAGAAAGGCCGGGGTGGCTGCAGGTTTTCTTTCCAACCAAGAAATCGCACACCAGACTCCATTAATCTCATTAAGTCATCATGTTCAGATTGCACTCAGTTGATGAGATGACTGGAGTCTGGCATGCGATTGCTTAGTTGGAAAGAAAACCTTTTGTATTGTGTATTTATTAGAGCTACCCTAAGGAAACCTGAAAGCATCTCTTAAAGTTAAAGCTTCTCTTTCTCCACCCTGTAACATAATTATTTAGTCAGTCACACTGCAAGTGCTGCTTTCTCTTGCAATCATAAATGATTCTACGATTTGCATGCCTAGAAATGTAAAAAAGTAATTTGTTTAAAAAAAATATGTATTACTAAGTTAAGTTGACATCTTAATCTTGTTTACTTTTAGCTCGGTTCCTCGATTTCTTCCACAGGATATTCAAGCAGGTGTAAGACACGAACACAAAGAGGGTGAGGGACAGCACAACAAAGCTGACAGCCATGGACCAGAACAGAAAGTCTCTGCTATCTCCTTGTGGCTCTGGGGATAAGTCAAACATTAGTTAGGTTCTCAGACTAAGATATTTTTTACACACTGGTGTTGGAGAAATGTGCAACAAATGACAGGCAACATATTGTTGAGGAAGCGTTGCCACATTTTCTTACCCGGTTTAGCACAAGTAGAGTCGTGAGTTTTGTTTCCTTGAATTATCTCAACAAGTCCCTTCTCGCTGCAACTGTAGATAAAAAATTATGTTCATCAATTATAAACGTCTTAAATCTTTCATTAATGCAGTTTTTCTCAGTTTTTTTTTTCAATCCCTCAAAATTTTATTTAAAAGTGTTTTTCCTAAATGAAAGTGGATGTTGCAATAAAATGGGTGAAAAAACAGTGATAGGTATAGTATATACTATGTATATATATATATATATATATATATATATATATATATATATATA